CCCCGTCCAACCGCACCTTTGCAGCGTTTGTTGACGCAGCGTTTGGCGGAGCCCAGGTGTTCGATGAGCGCGGCCGGTAGGTCAGCCGGCCCGTACGGCACGCCGTGCAGCTTGACCGAGCGGGCGGCCAGCTCCACCAGCGACGGCGGCTCGTACTCCATGCTGCTGACGAAGTTGCGCACCAGCGGGTTGTCGCGCAGGCTCAGCTGTCAGGAGAGGGGTGACGTTATTTGGCGGCCCTCTGGCACGCCGCTGACGGACAAGGACATGGCCAGTCCGCGCGGTCACCTGCAGCGCCGTGGCGGGTATTTCCTCGTGCCAGAACATCCAGGGCTTTTGGGTTCAAGCACATGGCGTATATCACCCGCCTGACGACAACTCTGGAATCTAGGCTGGCCCCCTCCCGGGATCACGAGCCACGGCAAACGTCACCTGACGTCCGTGACAAAGTGGACATGAGGCTAGTTTGCTGACCGGACAGTCAGATCCTGAGCGCACCTACCGCTGAGCGCCCGGGAGCAGTAAACCCTGGCCACCGATCACCCGGGCGCAGTAAACCCCGGGCGCCGATCACCCGGGCGCAGTAAACCCCGGGCGCCGATCACCCGGGAGCCGTGAACCCTGGTTGACGATCACCCGGGCGCGGTGAGCCCTGGCCGCCGATATCGCGGGCGCAGTGAACCCTGACCGCCGATCACCCGGGCACAGTAAACCCGGGCGCCGATCACCCGGGCGCAGTGAACACTGACTGCCGATAATCCGGGCGCAGTGAACACTGGCCGCTGACCAACCGGGCAGTGAACACTGGCCGCTGACCAACCGGGCAGAGAACACTGGCCGCTGACGTCACCTACCTGTTTGAGCGCGCGCAGCCGGACCAGGGAGGCGGGCAGCGTGGACAGCTGATTAGCGTGTAGTAGCAGCGTGCGCAGCCGCGGCAGCCGGCAGATGGCCTCAGAGAGCTCCGTCAGACGATTGTCACACAGCACCAGCACCTGGCGGCCGGACGACAAACTTCAGCTTCCAAAGACAAGCATCAAAATGCAGGTGCATGCACAGGCGAACCGCGCATATGGTATAGGAAAGGTGCGAAGGCTCCACAATCGAGCTGCTGTTTTCAGGCTAGCTTGTTTCGATACCAACGACCATTTTGACCAATACAAGTCAGGTGCCGGACTCTGTGGCTACGTAAAACCTCGAGCGCCGTGAGAGTATCATTGCCTTCGTTTTCAGCAGGTTTGCAGCTGCTGCTACGGTGAGCAGGGCCGTTACACGTTACAAGCCAGCCAGCGTAGGATCCTGTTCAGCTGGTGTGCTCGAGTCCCGCGCTCCTCCCCCCCCCCCCCCTCCTCATTGGAGGTCCTCACCTCCATGCCAACCCTTCTGACCAAACTGACAGAACACACAGCCCTCGACCTCACGCTTGGGAAAAGGCAAAGAAATACACACACGAACAATGAAATGTCAATCATTTTTTCACTCAATATCACAAGATCGCCATTTCAATACGAGCGGAAGGACGTAAAATGACAGCTTTCGTGCCACTAAGCGCAAATAACTAGCTAGCATTGGCAAAATACTAGGGTACAAGCAGGGTGCACAACACAAGGCGCAGCGTTCCAGAGGGATAAAAGTCCCCTATCCCGGCGCATAAGGTCAATGTTCTGGCTCACCAGCGGTCACTTAAAGTATCATCATTGAGATGCACTACCAGCCAGCTGCATGGCAGTGACCAAAAACCCCAGTCACCCCAACAACTGAGTCCGTCTAGCATCAGCCCAGCACGCCAAATGTGTACTGTCCGCCGACCCCACCCCCCCCCCCCCCCCCGACACGGAGACCGCGCATCGGTGGCGCTAGCGGACACTGCACAAGGGCGGCGGGACTCCGGCCCCCGCGGCACCCTCAGACAGCGGACCCCGGCCCCCGCGGCACCCTCAGACAGCGGACTCCGGCCTCCGCGGCACCCTCAGGCAGCGGACTTCGGCCGTCCGCGGCACCCTCAGGCAGCGGACTTCGGCCCCCGCGGCACCCTCAGACAGCGGACTCCGGCCTCCGCGGCACCCTCAGGCAGCGGACTTCGGCCGTCCGCGGCACCCCCAGGCAGCGGACTCCGGCCTCCGCGGCACCCTCAGGCAGCGGACTCCGGCCTCCGCGGCACCCTCAGGCAGCGGACTCCGGCCTCCGCGGCACCCTCAGGAAGCGGACTCGGGCCGTCCGCGGCACCCCCAGGCAGCGGATTCCGACCTCCGCGGCACCCTCAGGAAGCGGACTCCGGCCTCCGCGGCACCCTCAGGAAGCGGACTCCGGCCTCCGCGGCACCCTCAGGCAGCGGACTCCGGCCTCCGCGGCACCCTCAAGCAGCAGACTCCGGCCGTCCGCGGCACCCTCAGGCAGCGGACTCAGGCCATCCGCCGCACCCTCAGGTAGCGGACTCGGGCCGTCCGCGGCACCCTCAGGCAGCGGACTCCGGCTTCCGCGGCACCCTCAGGCGGCGGACTCGGGCCGTCCGCGGTACTCTCAGGCGGCGGACTCGGGTCGTCCGCGGTATTTTCGGGCAGTGGGCTCGGGCCGTCCGCGGCCCGTGTCGGCCCTGGCCGCCGCGGTCCGAGCCAGGGGCCGGTCGGTGACCGCCAAATGGAGCGAGTCGCCGCCACCGATCACGGGTGGCGGTTGTTCGCTGCGGCACAAGGCCGCTGGCCGCCCTCCAATGGCTTTACGAACACCGACCGGAGCGCGGCAGCACGCGGTGGTCACGAGAGGCCAGTGTCGTCCCGAGACAAGCAACGTCACACCGGGTACGCCATGCACAGGCGAACAGACATATTAATATACAACCGAACCGCACCGTCACCCTGCGTCAGCAGCTGCTCCGCTGTTTACGTTATCCGGTGACGAACGGAGCGACTGGAGCAAGCCCCTTGACCTCTCGGTGCGAGACAAAGAAAGGCGGGGATAGCGACTCAGCCCAGACTAACTTACGGCACCCCGCCACAGCACGTGTGCATCCCGAGGTGCTTGGGCTTGCTGCGACGCAACACACAAAACAGCTCAACAATCACGGCTGGTCGCGTCATTCTGATTAGCTGTCTGGCACATCTATATGCTGGCTGATCTGGGCGCATCAGTGTGACGTATGCACTGACTATATCCGATCAGGGCGGCGGTGGGTCGCAGCGAAGATCCCCATCCCCTCACCCCCCGCCCCCCACCCGATAAGCCCCACCGTCAGCTCACGCGCCGAACACGCTGCCAACACGTGCGCCCCAGCCGCCGCTGGGCCCGCCACGTGACAGCCAAATACTGCCGCTCCACGCCGATCCCGAGCTGCGGAACGTCGTAGCTGGTCACAGCCACTGACACTCGGACTGGGACTGGGTACGGCAGCCCGGTGACTGGGACTGGGTACGGCAGCCCGGTGACTGGGACTGGGTACGGCAGCCCGGTGACTGGGACTGGGTACGGCAGCCCGGTGACTGGGACTGGGTACGGCAGCCCGGTGACTGGGACTGGGTACGGCAGCCCGGTGACTGGGACTGGGTACGGCAGCCCGGTGACTGGGACTGGGTACGGCAGCCCGGTGACTGGGACTGGGTACGGCAGCCCGGTGACTGGGACTGGGTACGGCAGCCCGGTGACTGGGACTGGGTACGGCAGCCCGGTGGCTGAGACTGAGGCGTAGTCCGCCATTCGAGGGACCCTCTAAATCGGCCCACATTGGCCAAGTGCCCTGAAATGTACGGAATCGGCAACACGCCAAACATAGTGTAAATGCGCCCAGTCACTCCATCACCCGATGACAAATGCCTTGCTAGTTGCGAAGGTGGTGGGAACGTTTAGCATCGATCTTGGGTCAGCTCAAACGTGTGCGTGGCATCACATCTCACACTGCCCGGGATCAGCCGCCGCCGCGTACACCAATGCCATGCAGGTTTCCAATAAAAAAACGCCCGTGGATGGGGGAAGGGGGGGGGGGAACCCGGATCAAGTGGTCTAAATAATCCGTTTTCAGCTGAGTCCGGGGCACATCGCCACCAGCTGAGTCCGGGGCACATCACCAACGGCTAAGTCCGGCGCGTACATGGGACCCAGCATCTTGGCGTCAGAAGTCATCAACATGTCGCCATCACCGATGCATTCCAACAACACAACCCAAAATGGCGTACAAAAATATGCTGGCCACCCCGGCGGCGCGCGCAGCGCCTCCCCGCCCCCCCCCCCCCCCCCCCCCATTCTCCCTGCCGGCGGTGCGCCTGGGTCAGGGCCGGCCGGCCGGCCAGCTGTCGCTGTCTACTGAAAGTGCCGAGCCGTGGCAGCCATATGCTGGACACGCGGCCCAAGTCTCGGCCCACTCTGACTGAGGACCGATGCCGTCCAAACGCTTACAGCACCTCGCAAGCATGACAGAACGATGAGTACCACGGATAAAGTATTCCCGCCTCCGGAGCACCTTCCCATGCGCCGTTATGTTCATCTCCGGCTGCCGCCACCACCGGCACGCCGAGAGGTACGGGTGTGCCCCGCTGCTCAGCCAGCGGTGCTCGCCGGGCCACCATCGGCAAGCGGAGAGGCACGGGTGTGCCCCGCTGCTCAGCCAGCGGTGCTCGCCGGGCCACCATCGGCACGCCGAGAGATACGGGTGTGCCCCGCTGCTCAGCCAGCGGCGCTCGCCGGGCCACCACCGGCACGCCGAGAGGTACGGGTGTGCCCCGCTGCTCAGCCAGCGGCGCTCGCCGGGCCACCGCCGGCACGCTGTCCTGGCCGGACGGCGCGCCGCCTCCGGTCCAAGGGTCACGCGGCGGCCGGCCACGGCGCAGACAGAGCCGGCCGGGGGACCGGCCGCCGGCATGGCCGGCCCGCATACCACTGGCCGCGCCGTCGGCCGCCAGCTGCAGCACGCTCAATGTGCCGCTCACGACCCTGACCAGCGGCGGACCGGGCCGCAGCTGGGTCGGGCAGCGCCACCGGCGGGCGCTGTCCGGTGAGGAGCGTCCACCCAGCATACTCCCCGGTCACTGGTGCTAGCCTCCGATCGCTGCGGTCTCAGCGTGTTCACCGGTGTTTCTGAGAAAAGCCATGCCGGCCTTTTGCACCCTCTTGCACCATCCAGGTCAGAGCTGTTTACCCTAGTGTCACTGGGTCAGTCCGACTCCAATAGTAACTAGAAAGCTCGTATGAACTGAGCACGGCTCGCAGAGAAGCTATCAGTGACCACTGAACTATGACCTCTGATCTGAAGGCAAATATAAACAAAACAGGAGTTTCTGTTTTTAAAACGGCACCAGATGCGCACTATCAGCTATGCGCCATGCGCCTTGAGTCGGATGGCGGTCCCCCTAGGCATAAAAACCAGCCATGCGTATGACATTGGTTCCACCTTCAGCCAACCAAAGGCGGGATGAAGCGGGGCAAAGCGAACCCCCTGTCATGATTGAACCAAGTACATTGTTAAGTACCGTTAAAAGCCAACCTTCCCCCAACAATAATTTTTTTTGGCGCTTTACGGAAACTCGCGGCGCTGGTGATTCGCCATAGCCGATGGGAGCAGGAAAGTGCCGGAACATGCCCTCCGCACTCTCCAACTACGGGGCACATGCCTGTGCAGGCACATGCAGCGGCTGGACAGGGGGGGGGGGGGGGGGCATGCGCTTTACCCCGATGGCCATTTACCCCGTCCTCGCCTGCGCCAGCCTGCTTAGTCGCATGCAGCCTTCACGCGCCGTCCACATGGATAGTCATTCCCAACCTTCCAAGAGCGACATTTCGCAGCCTGCCTTTAGTATGGGTCACTCACATTCGCTTCCATTGTGCCCACTTCTGGAGAAGTGCTCCAACTCGCCTGGAGATATCTACGATTGTAATCTCATTGTGCCTATGCACGTACTCGAGCGTCCGCAACAGCATCCAGTCGTGCATCAGGAATTTAGTTGCACCCAAGATGACTTAATATTTATGCCCCTTGCTGGCGAGTCCGAAAACCAGAGCACCGAGACGAAGACGAGACGAGAACCAGAGTCCAAGAGCCAGAGAACCAAGACGTGCCACTGACAATCGCGACCAAGTGAGCTCGCAGTACCAACGGGACAAGCATTCACACAGACAGAGCGAAATGACGCCGCTTAAATCCGCAAGATAGCGGAGCAGACCCAAAGAGCGGTGGAACGCGACACATAAGCGATGCTAACAAGAAGCAACGCAAACTTTAGAGACATGACTAAAATGGTGTAGCTATTGGCAAATCAGTCGCAGAAGGACGCGCTGTGGGATAACGACGACACACATGACGTCACGCTTTTTCAGTCACGCGACACAAGTCGTCACAAGTCGCCTTTATCATTACTCAGCCTTACGCAGCATAGAAACCAGCCCGCGGCTTAAAGCAGCGCCGTTAGACTCCTTATAAAACACACGACGACTTTAAAGGCAGGGCAAACACAATGGAACCGTAGCTTCCAACAATGTACGGCAACCGAAGCGTGATAGGCAATGGAAAGCATCCAAATGAGCTGAGCTGATTCAAACGGACGAGATGCGGCATTTAATGGCATTGTATCCCTGCTTAGGTTAAGCGCACAAACAATACGTTAGAACATCGTGACTGTGGCCGCACCACGTGTATTGTGGCACATCAAAGCACGCCATCGGCCACAAAGTGCTGACCTTACACAACCTGCACCACTGCATCGATCCGCACGCAACCTTTACGGAGCCCTCGCACCACCTTAGCACATAACCTCGCAAAACGGTCTGATCTCAAGCGTCAGTAATAGATATACCTCACGTAACAGCACCACAAGGCCACTTTGGGCTCCTTCATTGGTCCCACCAGTACCTCTCCAGCCAGCTGGACCCCACCCGGGCCACACGCCGCACTAAAAATCAGCCCTCGCTCGTCTGTGAAGAATGGTCAGCTGTGAAGAATGGTCAACACATAGCCCGGGCAGAGCCTCAAGGCTCACCTGCAGACTGTAGAGGTTTCCCAGCGTCTTTGGCACCGACTCCAGCTCGTTGCCGCCAAGATGCAGCACGCGCAGCCTGTCGGTACGGAGAGACAGGTGATAGGCGACTCGGACGCCGGCGGTGACGTGGTGTGGCCGCTCGGACACCAGCGGTGACGTGGCGTGGCGGCTCGGACGCCGGCGGTGACGTGGTGTGGCGGCTCGGATGCCGGCGGTGACGTGGTGTGGCGGCTCGGATGCCGGCGGTGGCGTGGTGTGGCGGCTCGGATGCCAGCGGTGACGTGGTGTGGCCGCTCGGACACCAGCGGTGGCGTGGTGTGGCCGCTCGGACACCAGCGGTGACGTGGTGTGGCGGCTCGGACACCAGCGGTGACGTGGTGTGGCGGCTTGGACACCAGCGGTGACGTGGTGTGGCGGCTCAGACGCCGGCGGCGACGTGCACAGTGTGTGCTGGTGTTGTTACAAGCAGCCACGAAAGCCGTGTGCATCCATTTGAGAGCAGCTTTTAATGGCATGGGCCCAATTGAAACGCTTTGCGAAATGGCATTGGCCGCATCCCGAAAAGTTGCATGGCGCGAGGGGCATACGGCGAGGGGCATACGGCGAGGGGCATACGGCGAGGGGCATACGGCGAGGGCATACGGCGAGGGGCATACGGCGAGGGGCATATGGCGTCGCGTGCACATTGCGCGGTAAAGATAACCCATCTGCCGGCCGAGTCGGGGTGCACGTCTGAGATCGCCCACTTCCCCTGACGCCAAACCCAGCCAGATTCTCCGTCACCAGAGTTGGATGCGCCTCGGCCGGCCTCCTCCGGGCCAGGCCGGCTGCGGCTGTCAGTCCCTGCCGGCGGCCTTACGTCTGTAGCCGGTGCAGGTCCTCCGGCCGGCGGCCTCACCTCTGTAGCCGGTGCATGTCCTTACCTCTGCAATCGGTGCAGGTCCTCCGGCACGGTCTGAATCCGGTTGGAAGCCATGTACAGGTCGGTGAGACTGGCCAGCTCCAGCACCTGGTGCGGTACCTGGCTAAAGCTGAGAGAAGCCGAAGGTCAGGTCAGCGGCCGGCCGGTGACCCGCGCTCCGCTGACGAGCCACCACAAAATGGAGAAGCCGAAGGTTAGGTCAGCGGCCGGCCGGCGGCCCGCGCGCGGCTGACGAGCCACCACAACACAAAGAAGCCGAAGGTCAGGTCAGCGGCCGGCCGGTGACCCGCGCTCGGCTGACGAGCCACCACAACATAGAGAGGCCGAAGGTCAGGTCAGCGGCCGGTCGGCGGCCCGCGCGCGGCTGACGAGCCACCACAACATAGAGAAGCCGAAGGTCAGGTCAGCGGCCGGCCGGCGGCGCGCGCACGGCTGACGAGCCACCACAACATAGAGAAGCCGAAGGTCAGGTCAGCGGCCGGCCGGTGGCCCGCGCTCCGCTGACGAGCCACCACAAAACGACAACTTAACAGAGTCACGCTAACCGAGGACCGTGCGGAGAGAGGCAGGCGATGTCGTGGACATCTGGGTCACAAGTACGGCCACAGAGCCGTGCAACCAGTGGCACGTCCCGCGTGGTGCGAAACCAGCCAGGAGGTATCCGACGTTAGAATAATCAGTGGGGCCACAGAGTAACCACTGGCACGTCCCGCGCGGTGCGAGACCAGCCACGAGGTTTCCGACGTTAGAATAATCAGTGGGGCCACAGAGTCGTGTAAACAGTGGCACGTCGCGTGGTGCGAGACCAACGATGTGGTGGCAGATAATGGAGTCAACAGGGCGACAGAAGAGTTACACAGAGTGAGAACGCTTTGGATTCCATTACCAAGTGAATGTTTTTGCCCAATCACAACAATCACTAGCCCCGTTCGTATAGCCTTTATCGCAAGGCGCAGGCGAGGCCTGTGGCCAATTTGATGAGCATCCCGTTGGCAGATTTTTGTTCCATCTAGCGTTGCGCCAGCAAGGCATGTCTTACTTTTATGCGCTTCCTTTCGCCTTACTGCAGACTTTCCTTCATGACGCGGATAGAGCCCGACCAGTCATGACTGGCATCACACGCCGCCGACGCGGCTTAAAAACGATAGAAGACCCGGCCACATGTCTGCTCTGGGACCAGCAACGCCGAACATCACCATGCCGAAACAAGAGCATATGTGCAGAGTTCCCCTGGTATGAGCCTTTTCGAAATCATACTGCCGCTACATTTCCTCAGTCTGTGTTGAAGGTGTGGATATTTAAAGCAAATTGTTTCCAACTATTTCAGCGACCTATAAAACATGACCTAAACGGTGTTGGTCATACCATGTCTACACTGCTCATGCCGTTTACCGTGACTTCCGACGCCACGCTCAAGCCGCCACACAAGGCGCGATGTGCACTCTGGTCAAGCGGCGATTTCAACAGCACGCGCCATTGTACGGCGGGGTGGATCACGAGTGCTTCTGCCTGGACACGGCTCTCTCCCTACGACAGACAACAATCCGATGCGGCTTTACTGCGGCCCCCGGGTCGGCGCGATGACTGTCAAGTCCCCGTCATTCGAGCTGTGTAAGCCTGGCGTGTGGCTGCGGCCCGGCAGGCAGACCGCTGCAGGCTGCAGGCTGCAACCAGTCTGGCGGCAGGCCCGCCCCAGCGCCAGCCGACAGGCCGCCGACCCGGACCATAAACACACCGCGCAGCGGCCATCACCGGCGCGGGTGACCGGCGGCGCGCGCCCGCTAACGGAGCTGCTCGGCCGCTGCGAGCCGAGGCGCCCAGCTCCGGACACGGAAGTCGAGAGAACAGCCAGACGCGTTTTTCTGACGCTGTTCCCGCCAAATCGAACGCAGGTATTGAAACACATCTTCTCAAACAGTAATTGTCTCCCAGCAGTCGCGCGATGTTTCAGCTATAAAAAAATGTCTCACTGCATCATTACGGGTGCATAATGATTGTATTACTGTTAACCCCCGTAACTACACACCCCCGTCGATCGGTGCTGGTCCCCCCCCCCCCCTCCCCCACCACCAGTGCGACTGCGGCCACGGGTCGCCCCGCCCTTGGCGCCGTCTAGACCCGTATTGCGTCACCTGTTGGCCGTTTCCCTATGTCCGATGGCGGCTGTTCAGCACCGGGGTTGGCCGGGGTGGCGGCCCAGGCGCAGTCAGTGACCCCCACCCAGGCACCCAGCTGCTCCGCACCTGTTGCCGCTGAGGTTCAGCTCGCGCAAGTGGCGCAGCAGGCCGAAGTCCTTGGGCAGCGCGTCGTCGGCCAGCTGGTTGTGCTTGAGGATGAGGTTGGTGAGGCCGGGCAGTGCCAGCACCGCCTCGTCCAGCGACTGCAGCCGATTGTGGCTGAGGTCGAGCAGCCGCAGTGCCGGGAAGGTGGCCAGCGGCGTCGGCAGCCGCGTCAGGCCGTTCTGCTGGGCGTACACGGCCTCCAGCTCGTCGGCCGGCTCGGCGCGCTCGGCCAGCCGCGCCGCCAGCGCCGGGTCGCCCAGCCCCAGGCCCGACAGGCTGACGCTGTTCAGCAGGCTCACCAGTTCGCTGTCAGATGCCTCCGACGAGTACACTGACTCTAGGTCCATGGCCAGGCTGGTGACACAATTACAGAGTCAGCAGCACAATGGCCTCAGGCCCATGGTCAGGCTGGTAATACAAGGACAGAGTCAGGAGTACAGTGACTCCAGGTCCATGGTCAGGCTGGTAATACAAGGACAGAGTTAGGAGTACAGTGACTCCAGAACCATGGTCACCCTGGCAATACAAGGACAGAGTTAGGAGTACAGTGACTCCGGGTCCATGGTCAGGCTGGTAATACAAGGACAGAGTTAGGAGTACAGTGATTCCAGGCCCATGGTCAGGCTGGTAATACAAGGACAGAGTCAGGAGCGCAGTGATCCAGGCCCATGGTCAGGCTGGTAATACAAGGACAGAGTCAGGAGCATAGTGACTCCAGAACCATGGTCAGGCTGGTAAGGCAGGGGCAGAGTCAGGAGCATAGTGACTCCAGAACCATGGTCAGGCTGGTAAGGCAGGGGCAGAGTCAGGGGCACAGTGACTCCAGGTCTGAGGTCAGGCTGGTGAGACAGGAACAACTGCATTGACTCTAGGTCCATGGAAAAGATGGAGCTGTGACATAGGGACAGAGTCATGAGCAGAGTGAACCCAGCTCCATGGTCAGGCTGTTGGCATATTCAGGTGGGAAACACCAGGACCAGATTCATGGCTAGCTTGTGACACAGGGTCAGTCAGATGGGGTAGATCCATAAATTCTGGTTCATGGTGAGCCTGGTGATGAATGGGGAGTCACACCAAACACAGTCTTCAGATCCATTGCCAAATGGTGATGCAGACAGCATTTCCTATCCCAGCAGAATTGTGATGCGGACAAACACAGTCACTGCACCACTGCAGCACTATGAATCTCAACGTAAGAGGATGCAAAAGCACAGTTACCCAAGTATGCACGGGCCTGGCCTTGACACTTTGAAAAGATCCCAGCTCATAAATTATATTTCTGCAAAATTTGGGAAAAATATCCTAGATTATAAAAAAGCATGACAAATTCCTGAAAACATCCAAGTGTCTGGAAGGTTCTTTGACTCAACTTTAGAATCAATCCTAGAAATCAGGTCTTTTATTTCCAAATTTATCCTAGATCCTGGAACATCCAACACCTAAGACAAGCACTGGTCACAATAACATAATCTTGATGTTTGCTTCTACCATGTGACTATGCAGTAACTATTGCAGTCAGACTAGTGACACAAGGTTGAATTGGTTGGGGCATAGTGACATGGCTCCCTGGCCATCCTGTCAATGATACTGGAGCAGGGTTACATGGGACACAACCATTCACCAGTATTTGCAGGGCAGTGACAAGAGGCCTCTGTTCTAATTGCTTTGCTTCCCTTCATCATGAACACATTTATCTTGCTGTGGCTTGGCCACAGCACAAACAGGTTAGTTCGGTCTGAATATTGGAGACTCTTATGCATGGAAATTCTGAATGATGACTTCTACCGATCAAATCTGGGCAACATGTTAATTTTTGTCACTATTGCAGGGTTGTCATCATTGTGGTATGGACACTGCAGCTTCCAATGTGAACAGGATGTCCCTAGCAGCATGATTAGTGCCCATATATAAATTTGGATTACACCTTGTAAAACATACTTCTGGTTTGAACTGCTGATCAAATTATGTAACAGTCCAGTTAATTTTGCAATTAGGATGATAAGCCCTGCTGTTTCCTGAACATTTATGCATTGTGTTCTCTGCGGCAGTCATCTTGTTATTGACAAAGGCATTATCACAGGCCAGAAACATGGATTCACCACCTAATGATGGCTATGCCATGGGGAATGCATGTTGTTTAGTTTCTTAATTTTACACCCACCCATGCAAGGCCTGATGGCATGCCGCAGCGTCCTCATCTTTCTAATCATGTCATATTATTTGGTAAAGGAATGGTAAGGCACATACCTCACGCCGCAACCCTCCCCACCGCGCAGTCACGACGTCTCACGTACTAGAAGCCAGCACGCAAACAGCCAAAATCAACAAGGACTGCGTGGTAAATATTAAATTGATAACCAGAATGTCCCACTTGGTACCAAAATACCCATGCTGATTCAGGGAGCCAAAATAGTAAATTTAGTACCAGAAATGCTGCCCTCACAAGTGGTGCTAGTCAAAATCTGGTATCGTCAACCCACCAGACATCAGGGTAAGAACGTCCGAATAGCGGTTGAAACGCCCAACAATCACCAAAATAAAACAATCGCAGCCAAAAGAACGCCTTGTCGGGCTCCATAGCCTAACTGGCTTCAGCTCCTGGCGACCCCAACCCACCCGTGGCGGTATGAGGGTTCTTGTCTTCGCCAAAGTAATCAACGATGGAGGGTAAGGGGTGCTGCGTAGTGAGAATTTATCCTGTAGTGGTGATGATGGTGTGGGGGGGGGGGGGCCTTTGCATTCTCGCTTGGCTGTCATGTGCGTTCGTTATTTGACCTTTGACTTGGATGGTCTGTGGCCGGTGGCAGCGACTGTTCAATGTCAGAAAGGTCAAAGAGCGGGGATCGTGCAACGCATTATGATACGTGACAGATGTTCCATTAAGTTCTGCTGCATAACTGAAGCACATGGTGGAGTCAATGCACACACCGCAATCCTGCTTGGCGTGAGGATCTGGTCTTAAAGGCATCTAATCAAAAACGCTGCAAAGAGAATTATGACAAAACCAAAACATGCCTCCTAAGCACTATATGGACCACACTATGGACCAAAGCTACGGGAGATCGGACCCCCCGGCTCACATGGGCCCGCGGGTCCGTTTCAAACCCAGGCCCGCAGGCCTAATGGTCCCCCGTTCGGTGTTGGGGCCAGGGACTAACAGGACCCTTTTATTGTCTCATTATGGACCATTTAATTGTCATCTTTTGTATTTCCATTCTATTTCCGGCAAGAGCTGACCCCGACCAAGGCAAGCGGTTCTTTAACATTCGGGGTCATGTCCTGATTCTCGTTAGAAAAATGTGCCCTGGTCGACTAGGAGCCTTCCCGACACAAAGTCCTCTGTTAAGCAATATGTGCCTCGATTCAGGAGCCGCCTTGTTGCAGGGACCCCAGGCAACGCAGGAGGCGTTCAGTAACAATCGTGGATCTCAGCCTTGTTACTGCTTCGTGAATAAGCTCTCAGGGCATAAGCCAAAACAGAGCCAGCTGCTCCGCATTGGTGGCCTCGGACCCACATAGAGGTTTTTTTTTTTTGTCGTCCCGGGGACCCCCGATAGACACAACGAGTCCCATCAGCTGACCTTTTAAGGCCAGGCCTACGGCCCGGGGTCGGTCCCGGCCAGCCCTTTGGACCCTCCAATGGAGGCCCTTGATAGTCTGTTCCGGAGGTTCTGTCTGAACGGCACTCAGGGCCCAGCGGGGTGTATGTTCCCTAGGCCCTCTCCCCCTCCCCCTCCGGGATGGATCATGGACATGTAGGTATGCGCAAAACTCAACGCAAACCAGCCACTCGCTCTTAGAACGCAATTCTAATGTGAATTGTAGCTTTTGTCTTCCAAAACATTCGCAAGTTGACTCCAGTTTGGCTAAAAAGACTGTTGTTTTGCTGGTGGGCTGAATATTCTAGTCTTGTACAGATTGTATATTTATATATTTTGGTGATCTGTTGCGCCCATTTAGTAGTAATTCAACCAAGCTGGAAGATGTTGTTCTTCCTGGGCATTATCTTCGTATATTTGGTGACGGAGGTAGGAATTACGGTTAACGACTTTCTCAAACCGGTGGCGAAGACATTCATGTTGGTGGCAATTATCCAATCGGTGTTGGTTTATTTTGGTTAGCATTGCTCAAATTTGGTACTAAATCTGTATTTTGACCATGTGGAATTCATTTTAGTAACTGTGTGTATGTCGTTGGGGATTTACGTAACACTCAGCTGCCGGGTCTATGTGGCGGCGCGTGCCTCTCACCCTGGCGGGAGGAGCGGGCACCGCGGGGAATCGAACCCCGTACTTCTGGTTCCTAAGACGCGCAGTGGTTATCGCAGACGCGTTAACCACTGCACTACCCACACCCCATTTTTAGTAACTGTCATGTCATGCCATTAGGGGCTTTACGACGTACTCCGCTGCCGAGGCTATGTGGCGTCGCCTGCCTCTCACCCTGGCAGGAAGGGCGAGCGCGGCGGGGAATCAAACCCGGTACCTCTGGTTTCCCAGTCGCGCAATGGTTAACGCGGACGCGTTAACCACTACACCAGCGGCATCCTTTTAGTAACTGGTTAATAGGGAGACATCGCTTTTGCTGCGCGCGCCGTGTTTGTCATAAACCAAGGTAACGAAAATGTTGGTTGGGGAGCACCTTACATGCAGTCCAATTTCAGGCCTGGATGCTCAAAGTAACGTGCATTGAATGAGCAAGAATTTGACAATAACGTTCGGCAGAAACATTCAGCACAGAAATTGGCTGTCCTAAAATTGTATTCGTGCTTCACAGTCAGAAAATGGCATTCGAGCACATACGCGTAGGAACGTTTCAAAAAGTGCAGAGCCAGACTCGAGCTATACCTTTCCTGGGAAAAACCCGTGTCTAGAGGGGGAGGGGGTTGATGAGCTGTAGGGTATTGTCCGCTCTTAAAGGAAGTGCTCCACATTTGTATCGGGTTTTTAAATGGAATAGCCATCTTAAAGATAATTCGGTGCAATTCACGCTCCTGTCCTTTTTAAGATCCAAACCCCTTCAGTTTTGCGGTGAAGTAACCAAACAATGACCCATTGAGAAGCATATTTTCTAATCAGGAAACTTGCGTTGTTTATAGCATCTTTTCCGCTTAAAAGCATATCGGTGATATAGGTGGGTTTATTTATTTCATCACATCCGACGTGTGCTTCAATATCTTCGAATGTGGAACACTTTCTTTAATTCATATAACACATTCTGGAACTTATTAAATGTCATGGTTGCCATGCTAGATATACATCTACAGCTGTTTCCCACCGGTGCAAAATCTTGTCTATTTGAATCATCAAGGTCATTCAGCGCATAAAACTATCCAGCTTCCCAAGATTATTCGTTCTTTTCAACATTTATTTCCCTGAGGAGGCGAAATTGCACGAGCGGGTAGACATTTTGGCCCATTGCAGAAGCATCTATCTCCGTAGGGTAGCTATCAAAATACGACCTGAAAACAGCGCGGTCAGAACTGTGAATGCGAATCAATGGTAAACATCGCGACAGTTTTCATGCTTCTAGATTTCACTGGCTGCTTTTAAGGAGATCAGCTTTTTCCCGGCAGTTTGGGCGGAAACCAATTCGGAAGCCTCAGCTAACAGGTGCCAAAGACACACATGTGACAAAAGTCATCAAACCGGTGTTTCTCCTGTAGCAAACCAAATAACAGAACGAAAGCCCTTTTTTAGATATTCCATGTTTGAGCACTGCCCCGCCCACCGTCGGCGGCCACTGCCCTGACCCGGCGGTCCCCCGCATGGATGACCGCGACCTGATCGTCTGACTGGACTAGCATTACTTCTTATTGGTGTGTAAAATATGGACTGGACACGTGCTACGGCATCATTTTCGGAATTATCTTCCCCCGCTTCAACACTAGAGCAGAAAATAAGCTTCGGGAAGCTGCCTATCTCATGCATAAATTGGTGCAACGGGCACCTATTTGCCTCTCATCCAACGTCTCTTCAAAGCATGATCTGCATTTGCCCGTATGCAGGGGTGTAGCCAGAGCATTGCCAAGGGGGAACGCAGGGTCGACAAAAGTCCCCGGATGGTGACCCCTGCCCCCCCCCAAAAAAAAAATCGCCGGATATGGCTCACTTTTTAGCGAGCCTTGCCAAGGGGAGCACAGCGTTGTCGAGGCCCACTGATGGTGAACGGCCCCCTACCCGAAAAGAAATCGTCGGACAAAGCTAACTTGTTCATGAGGGGCATTGTACTTTGTTTTATTGTTATTTTTACCTTGTAACCAGAACAGAAACGCAAACCGGAAGAGCTTGTGGTACAAACAGAATTTATCTCGTGGTAACTATCGCGAGATCAATTCTGTTTCTATTTTGAAGTCAATTTGTTGCAGAAATCAGCCGAGTTGAAAGCTGCTGGAAGGTGCACTTCTATACACGACAGACACGCGTTTCTATGGGGCCTTAAACCGCACTCAAGCCCCACTGAACACTACCGCTTCATATGGTATGTGGCAGCATCTTATTCTGTTATGTACGGCAAGCGAAGATATTTAGGGGCAAACCCGATGTTCCTCTAGTACTGAAGGCTCCTCTCTGTCTTCGCGTATAGCTTTGCTTCTGCATGGGTGCTTACACTCCCCTCAATATATGTGCATGGACTGCATGATGCATCTCTCTGCGGGCCTCCGGATCGGCTAGGGCCCGCCAGTCGTCCGAATGGCGGCCGGAATGCACCCCGCGCTGGGACGGAATAGCCCTTCAGCCCTAGACCGGTAATGGTAATTTGCCTCCTAGTGTTCTTCTCACCAGACCTCTCGCCCGGAAAAGGTGGAGGGTCACAGAAGTGTTGAGTGGAGTGGATCAAAATGAGCTCAAAAATTAAAAAGGCCAACCCGTACGGAGCCAAAGCGGCTATTTTTAAATCTCGTATAGCCAGTACACTGGCTCAGTCGTAGTTGCCAAACGCAGACCAGCAGGAACATAGCTATACGGCCTTGTTACTAGCATCCACATAACTACTGTATACCCGCATAGCCACATATTGCATCCATTGGGTGATCCAGATAAGTCTGTGAAAGCATTGGCCGTTCTCCAACGTGTCAAATGTGAACTGATCGCGCAATCACAATGCTTCATTGCTCCTGTCAGGCTGGCATCACGGAACCTGTACGACCCCAATGAGGAAAATATTCCAGGCTCGAAACGGCTTAGCTTTCGAATGGCAGTGAGTGGCTATTGGTGAGTGCCACGAAAGCATACAACACTAAGTGGTAACAAATGCATTATTTCAGTTTTCAACGCAAAACTCAAGTAACAGAGGGCTTTGTTACACCATTTTTTGTACG